CCATTCTGAACATCAGACAGTAGATTATCAGAAGTGACAGTAGACTGTCTCCCTACACTATTGAAGAAAATGAAGCTAATAGTTAATAATTGAATTTCCTATCATATATTAATCAATTATTGTTTAGAAAACATGATTTTTGAACTATGAAATCCTATTTTTGATACCAATTAATTATGCACAATATAAATATGATTTTGTATAATAAAAATGATGTTTTTGGCATATAAAATACTATGTGATGCATGACGGTAAGTTCGGGTGTTAACACTCGAGACTAGGCCGCTGTTTGTTATCAAATGTTATGTTGATTGATGATTATGATGAATGATTATTATGATGATTATGACTTGATGAAACTACTGATTAAAATGATTATTGAATATTAAATTATGAATTGAAATGAATATGTTGATGATTATGAAATGATTTGAATTCTAAGGATATCTAGAAGAACTCTAAGATATACCTAAGTTGACGTTGGTTTCTAAGACTATCTAGAAGACGTCTAAGATGACTTAGAAATAGGCCTTGCGGGTATAATTATGAATATTCGGTGGCCTGGGTTAAAACGTACGTACGGGATCCATAACCAAACTAGAGGAACTCGTTTGGGGATGCCACCCAACCCGATAGTTAGTATCCTACTGTTCAGTTTTCTGGATTTGTACCTTAAGCAAAGGCTAGTTTAAGAGTTGGTAAATCAATCGGAATATATGTACCTTAAACTAATGACCTAGCTTAAGAGTTGGATAGAAGTACCTTAAACTAGAACTAGTTTAAGAGTTGGTAAACATCAAATAAATTGGCCTTAGACTAAGAATAGTTTAAGGATATTATTGAATGAGGATGTTGAATGTTGAATATGAATATTGAATGACGAATGTTGAATATTGATTATTGTATATTTGAACTGAATACTCTGTGCATGATATCAAATGATTTGATTATGAATTTGGATTCAATTTATATGGATGTTCGACGCATTAGATATGCTTACTCAGCTTCACCGCTGAGCGTGTAGTATGTTTTATTTGCTACACGCAAGTTAATAGAAAGAATGATGTGACATGATTCTGAAGGCAGACGGAGGCGAGACTGTCGGAATGGATGTGATGGTTTTGAATTAAAGAACATAAATAAATTATGTTTGTAATTATGATTTGTTAAGCTTCCGCAATATTGAAAACTCCGCATTGTATATGTTATGAAAAATATTATCGTGATAAATAAAAGTGTTTGAAAAGTTTTAATTTTACGATTACCAAGTTAATACTTTAGTCCGAAAGGGGCTGCAGACCTGGACGGATTAGGGTGTTACAGTGTAAGCCGGCAGACACTCCTATCACGCCGAACCATGGTCTAGCTCGTTCCACTAGCGCGGAGCTACGGGATCCGGGTCAATATAGACTCCTTGTGGGTCGCTTGATCTATCTCACTATTACTCGGCCAGATCTCTCCTATTCGGTTCATGTTCTATCTCAGTTTATGCATGCCCCATGCCTTGCTCATATGGATGCGGCCAAGCGTGTACTTCGCTATTTGAAAGGTCATCCAGGACAGGGAATTCTTCTGCGTAGTGATAGTTCTCTTCAGCTATCCGCTTATTGTGACTCCGACTGGGTTTCTTGTCCTCTTACTCGCAGGTCTGTTAGTGGTTATTTTATTCACTTGGGTGGTTCCCCCGTTTCCTGGAAAACAAAGAAACAAACTACTGTGTCGCGTTCTTCAGCCAAAGCCGAATATTGTGCTATGGCCAACGCTTGTGCCGAGGTCCGGTGGATTCGGGGTCTTCTTGGTGCGCTTGGTGTTACTCCACCAACAACGCCCCGCTTATTTTGTGATAATAAATCTTCTTTGTTTATAGCTGCTAATCCTGTTTTTCATGAGCGCATGAAGCATATTGACATTGATTGCCACATCGTCCGGGAGTGTGTTCAACGCAGAGAGCTCACCACAGCTTATGTTCCTACTCGCTTGCAGTTAGCTGATCTGTTCACCAAAGCTTTGAACAGACCTCTCTTTTCTTTCTTACTCTCCAAGTTGGGCATTTGTGATCTCTATGCTCCAACTTGAGGGGGAGTGTTAACATATATAGTTTTATTTACTTATTTGTATATTATTTCCATGTATGTATCTTTCCTTGTATGTAATCGGGCCTGGCCCAACGAGCCTAAATCCTACTTGTATTATTTATACGTTGTGCATATTCAATGGAAAAGCATTCAGTCTTTTACGAAATTCTACACATTTAGAATATTTTATATGCATTTTATACCAAAAGTAAAACCCGTTTGGGGCAGCACAAATCCCGTTTTGGGCCGCACAAATCTCGTTCGTAACCAGTTAAAAAAAGATCGGACGCCATTGAGCCAAAAAAGTGCAATAATTGGCTAGTTAAAAATAAAAGAATATATTAAAAAACAAATGAATAAAAATATTGTTTGAGCACCCAAGTTAATATCCTCGGAATACTTCGTTTATTTAGGTCTTGGGCTATCTGGAATGGGCTTGAGGTAGCCTGGTTGAGACTTGCTACACTGGTCAATTCAAACAATGAAAATTAAATATTGAATAAAAGCAAGAAATAGAAGATTCCAAATTTTGGATAAGGAAATAATTTTCATGAGCTTTTCTTTACTTGATGGTTTCTTAGGATTTCTAACCCTTTTTGTTGCTCTATACATTTCTTTTAAATTGATCTCAATGACCTTAGTTAATTCAAAGTTTTTGACATTAAATATAAGTAATTTCTACTTAGTTTTGAAGTGAAAATGTTGTTTTAAAATTTAAAGTAGCAAATTGTTTTTTAAAATCTTTATTCTATTTGGTACATGATTAATTTTACGTTAATGTTTCATTCATCAACTTAGATAGAGAGACTGTTTGAGCTTTAGTTTCAACAAAAAAGAAAATATTGATTGTCAATATCTTGTTTGCATGAGGGCATGCAGGAGTCTAAGTGTGGGGGTATTTTTTTTTTGAAACAAAAAAGGGAATTTTATTGATTCATCAATGGGAGAAGAAAATTTGGGGGAACAATGTCCCAAACAACAAAATGAGTATCACACCGTCTTGCCAAAACATGAGCTAAATTATTACAAGAACGACAAACAAAATTAATAGAAATGAAATCAAACTCAACTAAAATAGCCCTACAACCATCAATGGTGCCCCCAAAGTATGAAGGAATGTCGGGACTTACCTCTTGACAAAGCAACTGCACCACTGTAAGACAATCCGAAAAGAGCTCGACCTCACGCACACCACGCCGTCTTAGCCACAAAAGTACTTCACGACATGCCAAAGCTTCCGCCACCAATTGATCTTGAACACAACAAAGAGGTCTGTTACACGCTGCCTGAAATTGGCCCTCGGGGCTAAGTAGAATTCCACCAAAGCCAACACGTCCAGTCTGCGGGAAAAGGCTTGCATCCACAAAACACTGCAACACACCTGGCCGACGAACGTGTGGGGGTATTTGTTGAGTCACAAAATATCATATTTTATTCCCTCATTTTTTAGTACATTTAGAATATTTTATATGCATTTTATACCAAAAGTTTTATGTTTTCTCTTATTTAGCATTTTAGTCTATTGTTTACATTTTATACGATATACAATAAATGCATGATTTTGACATATTTATATTTTGCAAATATTTTGAAGCAATAATTTCCTTGACATACATTTTTATATATTTTGGAGTCCAATATAAAGTCAAGGAGGAAAATAATGAAGTTGGACTTTTGTAATTTAATGACTTTGAATGAAGATTGGGTCAAGCCCAAACTTGACCCAAATGAAGTCTATCTTCCTAATAAACAATGGAAGAGAAATAAAAAGAAATAAAAGAAAGAAAGAAAATCGGAAGGAGAACAACTCAAAGACGCAGGCGCAAGAAACGGAAACAGCGAAGTCTCCTTCTCCGGCTCCAACGCAAAGAAATCAAGCCTGATTCAATTCAATCTCTTCATGCTACAATTATAAAAGGAAGCTATTGCAGAAAGAAACGGGGAGTGATCGCAGAGCGAAAAATAGAGAAGAGCTGACCTAGGGTTCCGACCCTAGGTCCGGCGATGACAATTCCAGCGAGGACACACGACGGCGACGAAGATTTCCAGCTGCGATGCAGCTCCGTCTCTGGCTTCTGGACTCTGGCTCAGCTGGCAGTGAACGGACGAAGAGGAACACGGGAGCAATTTCGTTCTTAAAAATTTCATTCTTTTTAATTTCATTTTATTTTAAGTAGGATTCAGATTTATTCATTTCCAATTGATGAATTTGAAAATCCAATATTTTTATTTTCAATTCTTGTTTTTGTGTTGAATGTTTAAGTTATATTATAACTGTTGAATTGTTTGTGTGTTGATGTTGAATCTCTCCAGATTTGAGTTGTTGATTAATTATTATCTCTGAAATTGTAAAACCTTTTTAGGCCAAATTGTTTTATGAGGAATACTGAATCTTTGGTTTGTTCTTTCTTGTTGAATTAATTTGTCTTTGAAGATATTTTAGCTTTTATGCTACTATTGATTTTTAAACTCAAAAAGGTGTTTGAGAACTATTTTTCATTTTTGCTTCGATTAGATTCAATTAGGAGTGCACGCCTAAAATCTAATTCCAAATTGACAGTTTTGAGATCTTGAGTACGTTCATAGCTGAGATCTCAAAACACAAGTGTCACCTGATTAATACTTAATAGGCTTCCACCCAAGTTTTATTAATTTGAGTTTTCAAATTAACTGTGTTAAATAGATATAGTCTACTGCATTGTTGTTAAGTGATGTTTTCCAAATAATTTAATGCTCTCTTTTTAGCTAAATCTAGGGGCAGGTCCTTGGGTTGTTAAGAATAATAGGCTCTAAATTAGGGAAGGACTTGACATAGGCTAGATTAGATAAAATACGAAAGAACCGCGGGTGTATCTCTTCTTCAACTTAACCCTGAGAGTTTAAACCAATAGTTTAATTTCAGAATCAAGGCATAACTAATTAGCGAATCAGATTTGGTCAGTTTATTTCCTATTAAAAAGTATAAGTATTTTCAAAACTGTTTAAGTTAATTTTTATTGTGTAAATTTTTATAAAGTTTAAATGCGTGTTGTTTTGTGTTTGTTTGCTCCCTAAATGTTACTTCTGAGTTTCGAGCTTGTTGTTGTGGTTCTATGCTCTTATTTGTTAGAGTATTTGTTATCTTTATTTTATTTGCATTTTTTATCATTTTAGATTATCTTTCAAACCCTCACATAGCTTTTAGTTTTAGTTGTTTTTATTTAATAAAAGTGAAAAAGTAAGCTGATTTTCATATCCTAAAAAATATCTTTTCTCGTGGGATCAACTCTTACTTGCCCTATCCATGTGTTTTAATTAATACTAATTCATAAAGAGAGATTTAAGTTATGGAAAATAATAAATTAATTTGTAGGTGCTACGACACGCCTAACAACTACCCTTCAAGCATCTGACGTGGTCCAAGTCCCTGGCATTCCTCTCACGTGCCTTCGCCAGTCGGAAGAGTGGCTTATCCCCGCCTTGCTCCTCTATATCCCAGTAAAGGCGATAAAAAGCTGCATTCTTTGCCCTCATCACCTCTAGCTTAGCTTCCTTACGCGCAGTCTTGTACTCTGCTCGCAGAGCCGCTCTAGCCTCATCATCACTACACTCCACGTACCTCAAATACGCCACCTTCTTGGCTTCCACCTAACGCTGAACCATATTGCTCCACCACCAATCACCTTCACGTCTACTACGAGTACCATGGCTCACGCCTAGCACTTCCCTGGCGGCTTTCCGAATACTGTAAGCGGTCCGCTCCCACGTGTGGGTGGCTCCCCTTAGGACTCCAAAGCACCTTTCTCTAGCAAATGCGCGATTAACTTTGTGATTTTCTACCCACGCAAATTCCTCCACCACATTCTTGTTGTGTCACCTAAAGTTCGTCTTTGCCTTACCCACCTAACTTTGACGTCCATCACCAACAGCTTGTGTTGGGTGGTAACGTTCTCGCTGGAGATAACCTTAGCGTCCTCGCCAGGGCCGGCCCTGGGGTGAGCCGAGCAGTCCGGCCGGGCTGGGCCCAAAAATCAAGGGGCCCAATTTTTTTTAAAGATATATATATGTGTGTGTGTGTGTGTGTGTGTGTGTGTATATACATATATATATATATATATATATATATATATACACATATACATGTACAATTGGCGGATGGAAGAACATCAGCGGGAAGAAGAGGAAGACGGTGATCCACAACACAATCATGTGGAGGTTGAGGAAGAATTTTAGGTGAGGAAAGAAGCGGTTAAAGATGGGCCTGATCAAGGATGATGAAAATTTGAATCCTGAGCATCCTCATCCCTTTTCTGTTTACATTAGCAGGATATGTCTTTTTTTTCTTTTGACCTCTGAGGCTACGATCTAGTCCTCCTCAGACGTGTACTGATATTGTCATTTTTTTAATAAAAGTTCTTCTTTTATATATATATATATATATATATACACATACATATATATATATACATATATATACATACATACATACATACATACATACATACATACATATATATATATATATATATATATATATATATATATATATATATATATATATATATATATATAGGTTCTGGTGAGAATGAGAACTTGTGAAAGAAATAAGAATGAATCTTGTGCATTAGATCATGAAATCCAAGGGCTAGAAATGCATCAAAAATGGACTAAAAATGCAGCATGTCAAAACGCATCAAATGCTTCAGATAATGTAGCATCTCAAAACCTGAATGTTGGATGCAATCTGAGCCTTACGATGCACAAGATCTGATGATTTAGATTCATTCTTATTTCTTTCACCAAGCTTCATTCTCACGCAAACTGCACCACACAGATTATATATATATATATATATATATATATATATATATATATATATTGTTAATCGGTTTAGTCGTTGTGCCCACGCCTTAGAGGGGGGTGAATAAGGCGTTTAAAATCTTTTGGGAGTTTGATAAAAACGGTGTTGGCAAATGCGGAAGCAATATATAAAATGCAGAAATAAAAGCGTAAATAAAATGCACACCGATTTTATACTGGTTCGGGAAACCCCTACTCTAGTACCTCAAGGCTCCTCCTCAAGGATTTCCGAATCCACTAAGTCCCGGCCTCTTGAACTCCGTCAAAGCACCGCACTAGTTTTGGCAAACAACCCTTGCCAATAGGATTCACTCCGAGATTTTACAACGGCTATCTCGAACCGTTTACAATGAAGATTTAACGGCTATCTTCTACCGTTCCCCCAAGGATTTCAAAGGCTATCCTTGAACCTTTACCCAAGGATTTAAACGGCTATCCTCGACCGATACAATATGAGAATTTAACGGCTATTCTTGACCGTATAAAGAAGTGTTTGAAAAACACAAAAGAGGATTCTACACAACGGCTAGAATATAAAAATGAAGAACAAAACTTAGCCGGTGTAGAAGGAGATTATACTCTCTCAAAAATACAATACAAACTTATGAATATGAGAGTATATAACTAGAAACACAAGCTCAAAGTGTGTGTATAAAAATCAGGGATTTAAGGCTCTTGAAATAGACAAAATATTGAAAATAATTAATTAAAGAATGAACACACTTAGAATATAAAGGGAGGATGTTTAGAGCTTTGTTTCTTTTAGAAATATGAAGGATTAGGCTTGTATTTATAGTGGAAGATGTTAATTAGCCATTGGGAGGTGATTAGGGTTGATATAATTCAAAATCGCAAATCAGGAACAGTACTCCAACGGATCCGGTCGGCAGGTGCCGTCCACACGGTAGCATGGTACCGTGCGTACGGTAGGGGGTACCGTGAGTGGCGGTACCTCGGTACCGTGTAGCACAAAATCTCCATTCGATTCTGGCGGCACCTGGTTAGGACGGGTGTGGCCATCCGTTCCGGCCTACCGTACAGTACCTAGGTACCGTTACACGGTATGGGGGTACCGTGTAGGCGGTATACCCTACCGTGTGGCGTACCGCTAGGGGTACCGTGACTCTGTTCTGATTTTTCCAAAATTCCCTTAATCCTTCGTGTTTGAGTTTAAAACCTTTTAGATATTTGAAAGTGTTTATGTGATGGTTTTAAACATATTCTACGCTAGTTTTAGTGTTTCGACTTCATTCTTGAGTACCGAATCTTAATGGATTCTTGTTTTCCTGAAACACTTAAACAAACGTTAAGCTCTTATATTGTTTGTTAACATCAAAACATGAGACTTAGCAAACTAAGGCTAACAATCTCCCCCTTTTTGATGTTGACAAACAATATACTTCAAAGTGAGTTAGGCGGGAGTAAAATAATGAAGCAAGCAAGCTCCCCCTAAGAATAAGCATATTTAAAATACTCACTTTGAACTTTTTCTTGTGTTTATTAAAAGTATAAGTTTGATGCAAATAGTTTCACAAGAATGCACTCAAGTCAAGTTGCATATGCACCACTTTGAAGTATACATCTTCTCCCCCTTTTGTCAAAATCAAAAAGGGTATTTTGAAAATTATAACTATGTATAACTTCTTGAAACCCTCCCCCTATCAAAATGAATTTTTTAGGAAAAATGATAGTTTTGAGATCATTGGGCAAAAGGTGCATTTACAACGAAACTCCATCTAAAAATGAAAACTCCCCCTAAAATGATGCAAGTTTAAAAACGTTATTTTTTTCACGGGTTTTTAGGGATTATTTTCTAAAAAGCATGATTTAAAGATGAATTCAAAAAAAATATTTAATCATGCAAACCAAGGCTAAAGCAAATAAAAGCACGTATGAGATAAGGTTTTATTTTTGAAAATAATTAAAACAAAACAAAATATCTTATCCCAATAAGTGAGAAGAATTTGCCTTGGTTTATGCCGCTCTTTTTTCGGCTTTGAATATACTTCTTTCCTCTTCACATACTTCTTGCATTTGAGGAAATCCGTATATTTCATTCTCATCGCCTTCTCTTCATCTTCCTCGTCATTTGACTCTTCCGAGGAGCTCGAGTCATTTGAATCACATGACTCGCTTGATTCTTCACTTGACGAGTCTTTGGAAGCTTTGAAGGCGTTGGTAAGCTTGGGATTTTCACGCATTTCTTCCTCTTTGATCTTTCTCAACAAAAGTTCGTGAGAATACAAAGAAGACCAAATGTGGGCGGTTTCGGCCTTATCACATTTGGGTAATAAATCCACTATACTACTATGCCATTCTTTAGGTAAAGAAAATAGAATTTTCGTGTTAAGCTCGGAAGTAGTATACGTTTTACCCAACTTACCCAATTTGTTGACAATCTCGTTGAACCTCTTGTTCATGTCTTGGATTGTCTTACATAACCCTGATTAGATTTGTCATGTTCAGATGAGAAGGAATATAAGATACTTCTCCTTCTTTGACTGCAATAGGGAGCTGTGGTATTGGAGATGGACTGTGTTGTTGGAGAATTACTTCCATCTTGCGGTTTCCAGAATTTGCGCCAATAAGTCTGAACAGCTTGTATGCTTCCTTTTGATTGTCAATGATCACCTTAAAGTAGTCTTTGGTCACTACCTGATTTGCAGAAGCTACTGCTAGGGCTGATCTGATGTCCATTTGGAGAAGGGACATCTGTTTTTGGAGACTAACTGTGACACTCGCTATTTGCTCTTTGACTTTGTTGATCTCTTTGAGTTGAAGTTGACTGTCAGAGGCATATATTTCCATCGTGTTGCTCACAATTCCACTCAATAGAGAGATAATCTCCAGAGTCTTGTGCACTGATTTGCTTATTACTTTGAGATCTGCGCTGTGTTTTCCTTCAGATTTCTCTATGAGCTGGGTGTACCTGACTTCCATTTGCTCTATCTCTTGCCTAAAGGAGGCATGTTGAGATGCTAGGGCTGATTCAATCAGCCTTTGGACCTTCTTTGTCCAGATTTCCGGTATCTCATCCGAAAGTGTAGGGGTGGAAGAGCTATGGAAATGAAAATTGGTTACCTGATGAGAGGATGGTGTTCTTTGGAAGAGTTGCATAGGAAGAGATTCAGCATCTTCTTGTACATTTTCTTCATCAGTAACCTTCAGTGTTCTTTCAGACTCTCCTTCTGCTTCATCAAGCGCAAAATTTGATATATCCCTAGAGAGGGAGTCTCTTTCTTCAGCTGCATTCTGTTCTTCAAAAATGGTTACTGGAGTTTGAGAGACCTCTAGTTCTGCCATTTGAGTTTCCTTTTCAGCTGCTCCAGAATTCTTTTGTGCTTCAACAGCTTGCTCCATTGTTTCTGGAAGAGCTAACTGTTCCGGAATTTCTGCTGACTTCTCCGGGATCTCAATTTCAATAGGATTGGAGATCTCACAAGGAGTGGTGAGAATCTCCAAAACTTGAGATTGGATTAATTGCTGAAATTCTTCTTCTTCTGCTGTTTTCTGGTTCTGTTCTTGTGGGGGAGAGGTTGACTTATCTTCTACAACTTCAGTTAGAACCATTTCAGAAACATGTGAGGTTTCCGGAAGTGTTTGGAAATCTTCAGCTGCTGCTTCCAAAACACCTTGTGCTTCAGAAGTGAAAACCACTTGATCTTCTGTGTCTTTTGAGAAGACTGACTTGAAGACTGCAGGATCTTCATCATTTGCTTCAAAGTCTGAAACTGGTGTGTTGGCTAGGTATTCCAGATGCAAGTCTTCAGGATTCCTTTTCCATACCCAGTAGTCATCCAAAATTTGTTCACATTTGTGGTTGACTGGTATTCCTAAGCAGTTCTTGATGATCTTCTCATTCTTCAGTTGTTGGTCCCAATTCAACAGTTGCTCTGCTGAATTTCCAACTTTCCAGGCTTTCCAATCATAGTAGAGCTGCCAGAATTGGTTATCTGCATCATCTATTTGAGGTTGAGGTGATGAGGTTGGAAGGCTTTGGACTTGAGGAATTTCTTCTTCAAGTTGTTGAGGGCTCCGGTTTTGAGCAGAGGTTTCCTCAGCAGGTTCCTTCTCCTTCAACTCATCCGGATTGACATTTCCAGATGTTGATGGAGAGTTGATCTTCCTCTTCTTCTTCCTTTGAAGTTCTCC